CCCTAAGGATCCAAATAGCCCAATGTAGGTAATGTTTACAGACTTTAGGACCCAATGTAGGTAATATTTGTGCACATGGATCCCTAGGGTGAGGGTATACTTTTGCTTGAAAGGTTTTTCAGGGAAGGGGATTGCTTAATGCATGTTGGCGATCCATGGAACACTCCCTATATACTACGCAGAGTTGAAACTGGAGTTCCTGCCTGAAAAGGCATACCCCCAAGCTCGATGACCCAAAACCTCTTCAAACTAGGAGGTAGGCTTGAAGCAAAGGGAGCCAGTATCGCAGGACGCCAATAAGGAACCCCAGGCTATCCAAGTATCAACTACTCCCAGTCAGCTCCTAACCCGAAACCCTAAACCCTAGTCTTCAAGCCCTTACACCCAGGCCCCAGGCATCCTTAGGTGCCGGCCTGTGTCCCCCAAGTTTGAATTAGCCCTCATGTAGGAGTTTCTCACAAGCAATGGGGCCTAAGATGCTAAGGATCCACGGGGCCCCGTATGACCGGCTGTCAAGTGTGCACCCTTTCGTGTGGAATTCAATGAATTCTGCGCCCCGTATTGGTGGCCTTCAAAGGGGATTGATACTTGCACAAGCCCTAAGCACAAAACCTTTAACTTGAACACTTGAACTCCGGACTTTGGATGTTGAATCCTACCCTCACAAACCCTACTCGCGGAACCATGAGCCCCAAACCCAAGCTACTAGGCCCTGAACCTGGTACCCTACACCCTAAAGAGCCGGTTGAGCTTAGGAGCAGCTGAAAAAGTTGCTGGGCAATGCTTTCTGTTGCGGGGGTTCATGGGTCGGCAAAAACGCAAGGAATCCATATAGCCCAAGGTAGGTACTATTCGTAGACTTCAAGGCCCAAAGTAAGGATTATTTGCAGGCTTGAACCTCTAGGGAACTCACGCTTTGGGTTAGAAGGTTCGCGGTCAAAGCTCGCCGTATCTAGATCCTGCGAGGGGGGGGGGGGGCTGGCTGCTTTGAAGCTTGTATCAGAGCTCTTGAATACTAAGCCCGACCATAATAAGCATTACCTAAACCCCAAAGTAGGTAAAATAATCGCCTAAAACCCCTAAATATAGCCCAAAAGGCCATTATTCTACATACTTTGGGGGTCCAGGTAATTAGAAAAGGTGCAACTCAGGAGCTTTTCCCATCATTCCACGGGGTTTTCTATAAATGATGAGAACCCCGAGACCTTTCTCACGCAAGCTCCAAAGACAAGGTGATGTTTGAGCCTTCACTTCCTGATAAGATTTAGGTTGCAGATCAGGCTTCAGCATCAGCTTTCCCACCCTAATCTTCAGAGCAGCCAAGTAAATGCGTCTCCCTCAACGTAAACCGCTGAAAGTGAGCTCCTGAATCTAATCAAAGATTGCAGGGTCTGGAAATGACTTTCTTGGGTTTTCACGAAAGTTCCGTACTGATGTCTGAGCTTGCTGTTGGCTTGTTGCCTCTGAGCTGCTATCGCTGTCCGTTGTGGTTGCGTTCGGAGCGGTAAGTTGATGGACTGCTACCAGGTGTGGGGAGGGTTGGGGCTGGAGACGGAGGTTCTGGAAATTTCAACCATAGCACTGCTGATACCCTCCCCCATCTTACCCGGAAGCCCAGAAGCGGCTCTGAAAAAAGTGTTGCCTTTGAAAAAGGTACTTAGATGAGTTTCCATGTTAGCTCAGGGGACGGTCATCGTTTGAATATCTCAGAGATCAAAAATTTTTTCCCTTGCTTGACATGGAGAGCTCGAAGCCGCACACATTTTCAGTGGATTTACTTAGGTACTGCCCGCGATTCATTAACAGCTGGATAATACTCATAAGGTAGCTATATAGAGATATAGAGCCCCCAATATGACCCCTAATATAGACCGCCAATGGGGGGGGGGGGCAGGACCCGGGGAGTTACCTCGTCCGGGAAGTCTTCTGCATATCGCCGCCAAACCCACAACAAGCCCTATCACAGCACCTTGTATCCTCTAAAACCAACTCGGCCGGGGTAATTGTACGCGACCCTTAGCAACGCTACCATCAGGAGATACATGACCCTAAGTCAGGTATTACAGCAGGGTGCCTTTCCAAGTTTGGACCCAGCCCAAAAGGACCAGGCGCCGTACTGTACTGCAATTGATAGCCAAGTAGTGTGTGAGACTCCCAAACCCAACACTTGTGGGCTCAGGGCAATTCTATCCCGCTCAGAATTGTACTTATATAGCCCACTTATGAGGCCCCTGATTCCCCTAACATAGTTGCCTTAGGGTTACAACTACCGCTTATCATAGTGCTATTATTACCCTGAATCCCTTTTCCCTGTATACTCCTGTAACCAGTTTCCATTTCATTTTACATCTTCTGGTTCATTTAATTCTCCAGTATTGGATTCATATCCCTAAATCCTGTATAACCCCACATTCAGATCCCAAGTGCACCTGATTACCCTGAACCTCCAAGCGGAACTTTCCCAAAATACGGGAACCTGAATATAGATCCCAAAATACCGCCCTAATTTTGGGAAACCCCAAAATCTGAGCTCCGGCCCTAAACCCCAAGCCGTAAGCACTTGACCCCGAACCCCACACCCCAAACTCTTAACCCTTAACTCCACACCCTAAACCCAACAAACCCTAAACCCTAAACCTAGAAAACCCTTAACAGTCTAACCCAGGTTTGGCTTCAACTCAACCAGAACCTTGGCTCATCCCAACCTGGGTTCAAGGTTTCGGTTTCGGGTTTAGGGTTAAGGAATTTAGGGTTTAGGGTTAAGGAATTTAGGATTTCGGTTAAGGAAGTTAGGGTTTAGGGTTAAGGAATTTAGGGTTAAGGAATTTAGGGTTTAGGAATTTAGGGTTTAGGGTTTAGCAATTGAGGGGTTAGGGTTTAGGGTTTGGCGTTTGGGTTCTAGAGGGGATTAATTACACATGGGATTATAGGGTTGTGAAGGAGAATACCGGGAGTTTAGTTGGCATTTGGGGGGTTTCCTCAAAATTATGGGTATCTGTTTAGGGGTCCCAAAATGAGGACTATTTTTTTGGGGGTCTATACTGGAGTCCCTGTCATTAGGGAAACTACCATCTGGGATCTAGGGCTGAGCAGAGGATCTGTGTCCCTAAACCCTAAACCCTAGCTTTCCTACACTCGGCTTCTCCAGTCTCCAAATCGCAGAAAGGTTCATGTGGCTAGGGCCTCGCAAGCGGTTGCGCGGTTTAGGGTTTAGGGTTTGGGATAACCCTTAACCCTTCTTCAGCTCACGTCCATCTGAGACCGCAAGTAGTTGTTGGCAGTTCCTCCTTTTGTAGCGCCAGCTCAGGAATAAGAGGCCCGGGCTTTGAAGACCTGGGAAGGCATGGGAGGCATTCTGGGCTGCTGTTAAGGAACTTAAACTAAGTTAGTAGAATACGGAAACTCTTTTGTTACTATATACCCTTGATATGGGATCTTAGTTAGATGTTTGAAGTTTTAGCCTTTTGGCCTTGCACGTGTTGCAACTCCGATCAAGAATCTTGTGAAGAAGACTTGTCAGGCTTACGGGCCTACCTAGTGGAAACCGCAAATTCAAATAATCCGTGCTCACATCACTTTCCTGAAGCATCTTAGGGCGTATCATAGTAAACCACAAGGTCAAGGATAGTTGTTTTCCAGCAGGAGAACGGAACTCCATTAAATCCTAGACCCTGAATTCTGAACCTTAGGCCCAGTATGTCCCACTTCCACGCTCAACTCAGGCGTTTTGAAGCTGTTCTGTCGCCACTCGCCAATGGTTGGCGTCTGGGAAGGGACCGTGGTTTGACGAGTGGCAATTTGGTCATAACTTAGGAGGACCCCCCAGCCTGTAATAGTGGTACAATAAGAATATGAGAGGACCCTAATATGATCCCTACTATCCCCTATAGTCACTATTACTGGGTGGGGGTTCCACCTAAGTCATAACTATCCATGGGTAATAGGAAGGTTATATTGGTGTTATATAGGGATAATGGAAAAGAACATGAAAACTACTATTTAGGGTTCTATATTGGGGCTTAGGATCCCGTAGAAACCAAGTTACAGTGATCCTTCCAAGATGCGAGGGATAACTCTTTGTTGAAAGGATTGTTGTCTGGATAGACCCAATTCTAGGTTTTCTGTTGTAGCGGGTGCACACTCTTCATGGGTCCTCCTACAACCCCCCTATACAAACTCCCGTAGGTTCCCCCTTCGTTAGCCTTAACTATCCCCAAATGATTTGAACTAAGGGGGAAGCTAGGGGGTGTAGTATAGTGGGGGTAGTACGGGGACCCTTGAACTCTGGTAGACGTCTTGGAAGCTCCTGGCAGTGCAGCTCAGGGTTTTGCGGCGCACCTCTTTGATAATTCGATTGCAGCAGGTCTTGGAAATGCTGCAAGTGGTCCCCTCAGGAAGTCCTCTTATTGTTTATAGTAGAGCCCTAGGAAATTATCATTGTTTTGTATTCTATGTGTAAGGGGATTGCAGAATGTAGCCGCTATACATGACCTCACGATTCAGGAGACTGAGTCCTTAGCTGGTTTAATTTGGAGATGGCCCAAGACTTGTGTGGCGTGTAGGGTTTGGGGTCTAAGGGTTCATATTCGTGTTTAGGGTTTAGGGTTCGTTGCAATAAAGGGTTCACTGCAACCCCTAGACAAATGGAGCTTTATGAATCATCACCTGCTGGGATAAACCCTAAGACCTAAACAAAGGCCTCACATCCTTGCAGTATAATCGTTGGACCTCAACCCATTCGACTCTAAGCTCTTAGAAATTCTGGGTAAGGACCACAAGGCTGTTAGCTGTTGCCATAAAGCCCTGTGAAAAGCCTGCTTTCATGTGCTTTTCGAATTCTTCTCCATGTGATCCCTATACCCCAAAGCTAACATTCAATCCTATATAGCCCTCATATAACCCCTAGAATCGCTTATATAATCACTCCCAAAGCCCTATATCCTAAACCCTAAGCCCTTCAAGGGACGCCCTCGCTCCTTGGTTTTGCGTCGGCACGCAAGATGCAGCGAAACACAGACACGTTTCTGTCGTGGGGCCGCCAGGCTTAGTTTTAGGGTTTAGAGTTCCGGTTTTGGGGTTTGCTGTGGTATTGCGCTGAAGCAGAGATGGCCATGCCACCGAGAGTCGCTTTGAGCGTGTCGTGCTGTGTGACCTGCTGCTGTGGCCTGACGGCGGCTGATTGTGTAACCCATTTACCCACCCCACGCCGTCCCAGGCGGCCAAACGGCCAAACCACCCAAACCTATTGTTTAAGGCCTTTTTGCTTGGCTGGTGCTTGGCCAGAGGCCAGGAGAATCCTTCTGGAACCCCCGGGAGGCCTGGGGGAGGCTGGAAGTTTGTTGCAGGTGGGAACTGGAAGTGAACAGAACAAAATTCCAGAAATGGCCCGGAATTTGGGACTCGAAATTCACATTACGAAGCCGACGCAGGTATGGGCCGTGGCTGTGCTGACAGGTGAGGGTGGGTCGGCCTGTGCGAGGGGCATAGGCGCCACCCACCATCGTAGACGGGCGGCCTAAGCCATGAGTTTAGGGTTTGCGGTTTGGGGTTTAGGTCATTAGTACATCATTCCAGCTTTCGCCAGGTCTAACCCGTATACCCATACAGCAAGTACTATGTGGTTCGCAATATCCCCACCTAGGGTGTTTGCTTGCGGGACTCGGAGCATGTAAGCCCAAGCATTTCTGGCCGGGATTGTGAGGAAGTTAGATGCCTATGTTACATGCTGCCCAGAATTTTAAGCCTCAGGATTTAGGTTTATCTAGGGTCGGAAGCCTTGGATTTAGGGTTTTGGATGTATGGCTTTGGGACGAAAAGTTCCAGCTTGAAGAGCTGTTGGCTTCCCTTGTAATGCGCTAGTTCCAGGATGAGCCAGCTTTCGGGTTTCTGGTTTGGGGCTTCAGTCCCAGGACCGTGAACTCGAGGATCAACTGCACAGATGATTGTTACAGCTGATGTATTGCTTGTTTGTTTTTGTTTGGTGGGTGGGTTGGTGGACAACCCAGGACTTGAAGCAATTGGGGGTTGTTCTAAAGGTCCTTGTAAAAGGAGGGACCATTGGCAATACACTTCCTTAAAAGGGGATCCTAACCAAAGAGGGAACCTACATTATGGCCATTTTGGGGACAGGTATGTTGAACAACTACCAATTATGCAGTCTTCTGTGTGGCCGTCGGACATACCATGTCCCCACTGCAAGTCTCGAGACTTCAACTTGAAATCTTGGAGCTGCTGTTGGTACGGCCCCTTCTCTGCGCCGTATAAGCCCCAGCCCATGTAGTGATAATAACTAGCAATGACAAGCGGAATAGTTGCAGATAGCAGAAAACATGCAGTCTCCATGTTTTTGTCGACAGCAATAAACGAGACGCTACCCACAGAGGGCCTCGCTGGGCACCACGGTCATAGATTGCCAGCTATTATGGGGGGGGGGGGTCCCAAAATTATGGGTACTTTTGGGGTTCCGCATAGTAAACATGATAGTATTTTGGTGGTTTTAAATGGGGTTCCCCCTATTTAGGGGAACCGCCATATGTGGTATCTGAGATGGAAGCGGCCCTGAGGTCCCATCATTTATGCCACTAAGAGCCGTGAAGCCCTGGTATGTCTAGAGTTCCGGGTTCACAGGTGCTGAAGAAATAGTGTGCAACTCGACTCAGGTGGGGGCATTCTTGTTGAGTTTCATAGAAAATGGCAGGGTCCACGGCCCCTGTGGTTGCGACAGGTTTCTGTAAGGTCCGGTTCTTGTCGGGTCTGTCTTTTTGAATGGGGCTGTGTTTGTAGAATCCTGAAGACGACATCCGACCCTGTTGTATTCCAAGCGAGACCGGACGCTGCTTGTAAAACCCATAAAGCTCAGCACCCCAAAGTGAACCCCACATTCTCAGCGCATTCTATGGATGGGGTGCGCAGCTCAAGTGAGTCGAAGTCTGTAGTGCTTCACTCAAATTTGGGCTTCTGCGGCTCGAAACCCTAAACTCTACACCAGGCCAAGATCTGGTCATGGAAGATACGGTTTAAGGGTTTAGGGTTTAAGGTTCTGAGGGTTTGCAAGTTTCTGGTCTAGGCCCTAGGCTACAAATCCCGAAGTCTATGAACTCGTGATCCAGCGAACCCTACATCCGTTAATCATACCCTGCCCACGAATTTCTGTCATTCGTGGACATCCCATCAAGGTTTCAATGACGAAGACGTTGCTCACCTAATTCATGCTGCTCCTGGCATACTGAGCCCGGGCCTCTTCTGTGAATCTGCAGGTTAGGGTCAAGGGGATGCTACCGGCAACATACATGCGAGCTATAGTCTAGGCTCCTTATAAGGTGGTTAAACAGGGGATATATAGGGGACTAGTATAGGGCCCATTAAGGGGGATACTTGGAGTCCAGGCCCTAGACCCTACACCCTGAACCCTACACCCTAAACCCTAAATCCTGTACCCTGAAGGGGGATACTAGGAGTTTAGACCGTGGCTCATGTAGTTTGGCTGCATCCTCACCCGCCCCCATTCGATCGGCTTGGAGATGATTAGAGGGGCATGTTTAGGGTTTAGGGTCATGAATGTTGATAAGCAGCTCCCCCTTGAACAAAACCTCGGCATCCTGAGTATACACATATTTTAACTGCGGCATCTGACAGGGAATGTTCGCGTTTTTTTTGGGTTAAAGGGCTTGATGTTTCCTATGAGGAGGCGATTCAGGGTTTAATTGTGGGGTGGCTCTGGAGGTTGGTTGCCAGGGGTCGGGATGTGCAGTTCAGGGGGCCTGTTTCTGGAGGGCGTTATCTGTTGTTCGGCTGCGTCTTTCTTCAAGATCTCTGCCTATTTTTTTATTCAGAGCGTGCTGTAACTCTGCTATAGTAGTTTCCATTTTCTTTTCCATTATCCCTCTGTCGTACCCTATCATGCTGCAGTAGTTTCCATTTTTACCCGTTTTCTTTCCATTATCCCTATATACCCCCAATTTTTATTAACTCCCGAACACTAAACCCAAAGTAGACCACTCGGGCGACCCCAGTCTTGCACCATGGTCATGTGTAGACCATCTGACTGGATTGGGGATGGAAGGCCCCCCTTAGTAAAACACAGTCACTACAGGGAACCTGGTTCAAGGAGATCTCCTGCATATGCCGGCCTATGCCGGCCGGAATAAAGCGCCCGTCAGCCCCAACAAGATATTCTTCAGCTTCACAGGAAGGATCGTGAGGTGGATGAGGAGCTATCTAGACATCTGAGACACGCCAGACCATGGCTATCAAAAATGGCATGGCGCAGCGCGGGTTCTAGGCCCTAGGTAGGTGCTTTCCGGAGCGCATGGGAGAAAACGTCTCATTTGTCGTGCATCTCCTTCATCTACGTGGTCCTGTTGTGGTTTAAGGTATTTCCTCATTGATTCAGTGAGGTTTCGGCTAGCGCTTGGTGCACGACCGAGTCAAATCAAGGGTTCTCCAGAAGGTGAATACCTGTAGGGCGATCCTTCAGCTATTGCTTCTCCTTGGACTTTGGTGTCTGTCCAGGCCTACTCTGTATTCGCAAGCTACGATCTGATGGCTGCTGGACATGTTACATCCCTTCAACCCCAACTTTCCTCTGAACTCTAGAAAACGCTCCCACTTCACGTTGGTTCGCAAGGCCTATCGACGAACAGGTTGCATCAGACCTTTGAGTCTGAGCTTGATTCAGAGCACTTGTTCTCAACGTGTTTTAAATTATTTGGTGAATACCGCCAACTGCTTATGGGTTGTATTTTTGCGTGGCTTTTGGCCGCGAAGCAGCTTGTGCGCGCTGCTGCTCCAAGGTTGCTCTACCTTCGCTTAGCCCATGCTCCAAATAAAGCCTTCATGGGCTCGTACCATGCATCCTACACGCTAAGCTAACTTGACCCGGCCCCAATTTTTGTTTGCCCAACCCGGCCCCATGCTTCAATTCTCAAAGCCCGAAACTGACGAGCGGGACCCTCCCTGCAATTCATTCCCTGTATCCGCAGGGATATGTTGGGTTTTAGCGGTTGGCAAGTCAGGCTACTGGAATAGTACCCCTCAACTCTAGAGTCAACCCTATATAGCGCTATATAGTTGCTCTCCCATGTATTTCTATAACCCTATTGCAACCCTGTTCCATCGTTTACAATTCCAACGCAGCCCAGTATTCACAAGTAAAACATAGAACGCCACTACACGATTTTCATGTATTCCCATACTCGCCATTAAACCCTATATATATATATATACATATATATATATATATCTCTATTATTCAAGGACTTCAGTCGATCCAGCAATTTGTTTAGGCCATTACGCCCTATATTGTAAATGGCGGTATACAATTCCCATGTAATCCTATACTCCTCATGAAAACCTCATATGACCTACCATTGTGATTGTCGCTGAAAAGCCTCCGTCGAACTTAGCTTGGGCGTTAGACCCTTAACCCTTTGGGATTTCTTTGTATTCCTATTTTGAGAACTCTAAGGGTTGACCCTGAGTAGGGGTCCTAAGTGCCACGTAGAAACCAAGGCCTTTCTGGACAATGTGGGTGTGAAGAAAGAGAACATCCCAGGACTGACCATGCGCTAGGCATGAGTATTGGGCAGAAAACGAAATTGGAAACCATAAAGGCCCTACTACAGGAATATAGGGGTTATATAGGGATCTTAGGGTGTACATATATATAGATAGGGTTAGGATAATGGAACAGAAAATGGAAACCACAATAGTATACTGGGTTATGTAGCTTCCTGTCCCATTGAGAGCTTCCGTATGCGTCCCGTGTCGAAGGCGAGTATACCTATTGTTGTTGGGTATAATATCTTTAATAGTCACGTCTTCTAGTAGAGCCTACTTAGGAGCAATTTTGAGCATTACCTTTCGACCTGCACTCCCAAACCGATTAAACCAGGCTGACGTATAGTCTAAACTCCTGAAAAGGGTATGTGTGGGAGTATTCTAAGTGTGTTTTTTCAAGGGGGATACTAGGAGTTTAGACCCTAAACCCCAAGCCCTAAACATTGAACAGGGGTGGGGTGCCTGCTGGTAGCCAGGTGTGAGGTCGCCAGGGTTTTGCATCTTGTTGTGTTCGACATTTTCAGCCGAGAGATTGTAGCACAAACCTGCAATCTCAGGCCCTGAGCCTAATGCCTTGCACCATCAAAAGAGAATTCCAAAAATCTTGTATGCCTCTTGCCTATCGTTATCTGTCCCTGAAACCCTTCCAACCCCATACCTTAGGTGGACCCCCACCCAGTAATAGTGACTATAGGAGATAGTAGGGATTATATTAGGGTCC